AAGCTACCTCCACCACTAACGGCAGGACGTGCCCTGAATATGACCCCTGACCAATCTCCGTCTAGCTGAGGGAAAAGGAGGTCATCTCGTAAATATCAGAAATAATGAGATTGTCAGAAAAAAACCTTTCCTCCCAGCTAGCTCATGACCCCTCCCACCTCTTGACGCTCAATGTAGAAGTTCGTGCCCAGACTACTATTTGTTGGACCTGGGACTCGGCCAATGATGGCTATTCCAATTTACAATGGATTCGCTGTGGAGTGGGCAAGAAAAAAACGTCAGATAGAAGTCGTTTAGTACGCGCGCAGTTGGTCGTTTGAGTGATTGCGCAGTGGTGGTATTCTGGCGTTGTTGGCGCTACCGGTTTGTCCCTAATTACTTGAACAATGACATTCAGATATTTCCAGAAAACTTCATTGGTCCTTTATTCTTCAAATTTGACTTTAAAATCATACCCTGACCAATGAAGTGGCTGTTCTTTCTAAAGCCGATTTGGAAAACTTCCGATTCCTGGGAAAAATAAACCCTGTAAAAATCGGCTCGAATGGATCAATTCAAAGGGATAAATGAAGAGAAATGATGGACATGACATTGTGAGCAGATTTCGCGCATTGACCACCCGCTGTTTGCGGTGGTCCGTTAAGAACGCCGATCGCCAAACGCGCGCCGCTCCGATTCCGTTACCGTATCCGCGTCACAGCCGTGATTGGTCGGCTCCGCCCTGCCCCGCCTTCAGCGAGTATTCGCTCGAAATTAGCGGGTCTCACTAAATAGTGTCTCACCATTGAAAATTTGCATCCGACTTGTGTCATTTGGTTCGTTTAACGTGTAATGCCTCGACCTGGAAAAGACTCCTATGACGAACAGGTGGGGCTTATCGGTTCTTCACAGCCATTTCTTCACTACCGTAACCATCAATATCCATTAAAAATTTCCCATATTTAATTTTTTTTTCTTCGTCGCAATCTCATTTCAAAGTCAACTCCATTTGTTCAGAAACCACCATATTCTTATATCTGGCTAACCTATATGGCAATCCAGAATTCTGAAGAGAAAATGCTACCATTAACTGAAATCTATAAGTTCATAATGGACAAATTCCCATTCTACAGGAAAAATACGCAGAGGTTTGATTTTGCTGGAATTTCGATGAGAATGGATTAACCCAATGGTCCTTCCACGAATTTCTGTTTTTCAGGTGGCAGAACTCCTTGCGACATAATCTATCGTTTAATGATTGTTTTATCAAAATTCCTCGGAGACCGGATCGACCAGGAAAGGTAGGCGACCTTAGTTTTGACCGCATTGATATTAAATGGTAATGCCATAACTCGCGGAATACTGCTGCCAGCGCGGGTTGACGTGGGCTGTATTACTAGTTGGTGGTTACCTAGGGTTACTTTTCCACCGTTTGAGCTCAGATAAACTTAATCCCATAATTACTAGGTTTAGGTCGGATTGAGGATTGTATAACTAAGTTGAGTCATATTAAGGATGGGCACTTATAACCTCGGAGTGGATCACACCTGTGAGTACTTGTCAGCATGCCTAATCCTGTAAATACAAATATGTACATGTGAATACAGGATGACCTTGTCACTATTCTGTTAGCCTTGTCATTATCTGTCAAAACCCTGTAAACTCCTGTCAAACCTTGCAAAACGACTGGTCGAGATTTGGTGCAAATGGTGTTTCGATGACCATTTCGTCTTGACAGGAGTTCGCAGGGTACTTGACACGAATTCACAGGTACTGCAGGGTGAGTCATGACTGCGAAAAGACTGAAAAAAAAAACAAACATTGAACAGCTTACAGGTCTGGCCCACCCCAAGGTTACTAGCGCTCAGGAAGTAATGTTTATCTAATTGAAGTTAGGAAGAGCTAAAGATTCTCTACAGAAAGCTCAACGACTGCTCTGAAACTAGCGTTTATGACGTCTCTAAGACCCTCCATACAGTATCGATTAAAGTAACCTTGGTTTGAACTCCTCATGAGGTTGGTAAATAGATAACTCTTTTGGCTGACGCTTAGAGCGAACGGAAAACTTAGTGGTCCGAAACTTATCCTCACATTATTTGTACTGTTTCTCTTTTTCATTTGTCATTGTTAAATGGAAGCAGTTTGGCTTGATGGGGGCACTGAATGGTGCTGAGCTGGGCTTGTGCAAGCCACCTTGTGGAGACCTGTCAATTCCTGTAACGAAAGCGGCTCACCTTGCAGCTTCACAAGGGTTTGCAGATCTCACCAAAGTGAGACCTACAGAGCTCGCCGAGCTTAGACCTGCTAGACCTGATATTCCATATGAACTGACAAAGGGATTTAGCGAAAGCGCAGATGCCCTCACCAAGTCGAACAGCGCCGTTAGATGTACTAGTAGAACACAGTAACTTGACGATCATCTGATTTCCCTTATGAATCCTTCAGAAGCCATACTCTTGATTTATTCACGAAAATGTGTAGACCTAGATGGGAACCTGGGCCTTATTCTTGACCATTTTCCGACCTGAGCTACTTCAGTGCAGCTAAAATTATGCCCTCACATTATTCACCCTGTCGCGGATGGGTTAACTGGGTTCGAGAAATTTGACCATGAAAGAAAAAATAGAGGTTAAATTGCATGTTGCTTCATTCCTAGAAACGTCCCGGGTTTCCATCAGTTGGCCCATAGATACTGTGAGCCGTCAGGAAGGCATTCGCTTTGGGTCTCTAGGCACCGGCAGTGAAATCGACAATCCCGAACGCGCCATGCATTTGATTTTGGTTTTAAGTCGCAGGATACCTTATGCATGTATTCTTGCTTAATAACACCCCAAAGGAACGATTAAGAGCCAGATCTTTAGGATGAATTTCGTTCAGTCCTTAAGTGCGTCACAGCGTTAAGGAAATTTTCGTCGAATACGGCTCCCTTCTCCTCTTAAATACGCCCTCCTGCCATCTCTCAGTTCTTGTCGAGAGCCATTTGCTACGGCTCCTGTTCCCATTAACTAACGAGAAGTTCTGTCGGCCTGCTAGAAAGGGTCCCTTAGCTAACAATAAGTCAAATATGCCCCTGCCCTACCCTGTTCATAACGACAAATGCCTCCTTCCTACAGTCAACCTGGAAGGAATGAGCGCCCTGTCTTTTACGAAGCAGGGTGGAATTAGGATGAAGAACGAAGCAGTACACTGTACACTCAGAGCCTTTGTCGCCAAAGTTTTGTTGAACTAGGGTTCGAGCAGGACTGTGTCCCAGATTTCTAGCCCTATAGATAGTTTTCATTTTTATTTATTGTTATTCGTTTAGTAATCATTTGAATATGACTGCCGGAAGATAAGTCTTGTCAGCTTTAGTGATCTCTAGACTTCAAGATCAAAAAATTGAACTGAAAAATTTGGCAATGTTCGCCTTAGAGGGTCATTTTGCACTTACGGTAGTTCCTTCTATCAGTCAGTGTTGAATAAAAGCTCTTGTGAAGCGGCGAGCTGCAATGCTGATGAGCCTGTCTGGTCTCAGGAATACGGAGATGTTCACCAGATGGCCTACCTGAATACCTGTCAAGTACCATTCGGTGCCCCAACCAAGTGGAACTGCGCCAAAAATGTACTTCAGATTTGTTAAGTACCCATAAATCCACGTACTATAGCTAACTTCATTTGACATAGCTCAAGTAACTATAATAACCCGGGCTTATTTACTTTTCCTCCTGAGAATTTGTAGGCGTTCCGAATACGTGAGCTCGTGGTTCCGTCCCTCTAATCTGACGTAATCCAGGTATCCGCCAATAATCATGGAACTAGGCGCAATTCGGCTTTGTGTGGGGGGAGGTGCTAAATGGCACCTAGAAAGCTTGTCCAGGCCACCTTGTGAAGACCTGTGAAAGTCCTGTGAGCAAAGTGGCTCACTTGTGTTTTTTTTTTTGACAGCCGTGCAAGAGTTTACAGGTTAGTTAACAAGATTCAGTAAAAAAAGCTAGCGGAAGCGCAAAATGTTCCCAACCCTTCCTACCCGAACAGCGCCTGGAAAACAATAGTCTTTCAAGAATTACTGCGTAAGTGTGGCTAAATAAACAACCACAATTTTATTCTAGGGCTCCTACTGGGCTGTCCACCCGAATGCTCTTGGTATGTTCGAGAACGGTAGCTGTTTACGCAGGAGGAAACGATTTAAGGTGAGACAAGGAAGTTTATTACAGTATACTATTATTGCAGTGCTAGTGCTTGCTTTCCGTCGCTTGCTTTTTTCACTAATATATTGTAAAGTAGACAGAAAAGGAAGTTTACGCCACTGCGTCACTTGTCATCTCGTCTTACAGTAACCCTGGTACGAATGGGTAAAACAAAGAATTGGCGCGACGGGGCACGGAAACCCGTTAATGAATGTTCGATTACCTTCGATGTCGTTGACGGAGAATCAATAACCGATTCGAATGTGTCGGCAAATGAACGAACATTACTTTGAAGACGGAACGGGGATTGGATAGGTCATTTGTGAAGGGGAAAAAACTCGACTGCTCACGTCTCCAAAAGGCACTTAACCTCACATACATGGAGAGGGCGTGGCTGCAAACTTCATCTAGACATGGCATAGGATGAGTTGATTTAAGGATGATTTCCATCTGAGCCAACTGTCATCCTGTCCCTGTACTGAGCATTGATATAGTTACAGTAACATTAATCATAACAATTTTAGTTGTCTCAAAACCAAAATACCCCCCCCTCCCGAAAGTGCAGCAGCCACCGCGTTTCCAAGGGAGTACGCGGCCACGCCTTCCCAATCTCAGGAATAAGCAGTGTGCTTTCTGGTGTGTAAGGAAAATCCATAGCACTCATTTTGCTATAAAAGGGTAAAGATGAGACTTTCGCCGTTGATCAATCCTTTTTCAAGATGCGCCGCGCATTCCTCTTCCATTCGGAATCGTAGTGGCCTGATGAATGCGATGTGGCCTACATTTATTTACGGAGACCAGTTGGCGTTCAAAATGTTCATGCCCTTTTAACGAGACTAGCATCAAATTCTCGTCCCCGGAGCATAAAAGGATGCCCTGGGCGGGAGCTATCCGAGATCTGACTCCAGACTGCGCGCTCCACCACCGTCGCCACTACACCACCACCTCCGCCTCGTTTCAGATATAGTAGCCAGCATCCAGCCAAAGTTAAGATATTAAGGAAGAAAATTGAGTAGAACGAACGGGGTACATTATGACGCTTGGTAAACCCTCTCCAGCGCTCCTCGAGTACGACTCTCTCGAACCTCAAGAGAGTCGTACACGGAGGGCGGTGGAAAGGATCATCGAAGGGTCAAAGTCTATGTTCTCCCTACTACTTACCTCCTACCGTTGCCCCAAATTCTGAAAAAACTGGGATTACTCTCGATCTGGCGTAGGAGACACCAGAAACAGTAGAATCCCGTCCCGAAATTTCCCATGCCCGTCAAGTTGATGCAACCCTCCCATCGACAAGCCAAATGCGACCTCCCCTCAAGTTTAAGTCATGAATAGACACTCTCCGGACAGCTGCACATATGGGTCCCTTCCAGTGCCGGAGCGATGCTTTCCAAGAGTCTATTCACGAGTGACACCACCTTGAGAATTAGGCACCCGGGAGCTACATAATAACCTGGGGAGTGGGCATTAATACACGTAAATTCTTGTCCACATAAATTCTTGTCTCCAACAAACTGGTAACTTGGTCAGCTCTGCAAGCTATGTAAGCTCCCGTCTTACACCGTAAACTTGCCGAGCCAAGGAATGTTGGGAGTAGAACGATTATAACGTTGAAGTAGAAGGACTGTTTCTCCACGAAATCCCACCTTAACGCTGCTTCCCTTATTTTAAGACAAGATTTTTCACCTACAGCTTCATCTACAGAAGTTGTCCGCTTTTCACAAGCTGACAGTTTCCAGGGCTTCACGAAGCTTGTTGACAACAACTCACAAAAATGCCCCACTTCCTCCCTTCAAAGGAAGTAGCCGCTACAGCTGCTTTAGAACGACCTTGACTGTAGACGTGAGCTTGTCGGATGTCTTTTGACGCCAACGAAGACAGTCAGCGAACACTGGAAGCCAGGGGTTAGAAATAGGAGTTAGTCTCTAACTCAGCCTGTGCGCAGTATACTTTGGTGGTGCGCTCGACTTGCAGAGTATTTCATTTTCTCCTCCATCCCCCCCCCCCTTCTTCTTCCTTACCATCCAATCAATCAACACATAGTGACATTGTGCTCAGCGACAGTGGAGTCGTCGTAATCATCCCAGCTAAGAAACTTGTAAGCAATGAAGAACACCAGCATCAAGCTATTTTTCCTTGCCTTCCGTGCCTTGGAAACGAATTTGCGCCGTAGGGCTTCA